TGTGTGTGTGTGTGTGTGTGTGTGGATAATTTCAATAGCAACCCAAAAACCGATCCAAGCATGTGGCGTCATCGGTTGCAAGACAGATTACAGATAAATGCAAGCCCAGAAACAAAAACAAAGCGACCTAAGCAACTATAAAGTAGCATAATCAACACAATAAACTAAAGCCGTTACTGAAAAAACGTTCTCTCATTTTAAGATTATACGTGTTTGTATGTACATGTATTTAATTTACTACTTACCTCGTTGACAGCTGAGCTACCGTAGCAAGGCATTTTGCTCCAAAAATGTTTTGATCTAAATGACAAAAATCAAATTGAAAAAAAACAACCAACTATATGTAATAGGCACTTTTCTTAGTCGAACAAAAAAGTAATTTGTATCCAATTCAAGCAGATGTTAGCACCAAAAGCACTTCGAGTGCTGCACCGGTTTCGCATGGACAAAACAAAGGCCGGGTTCCCAAGTGACCATGAAGTCCTCAAACGCCCCCTGTTCGGTTCATTACGTAAATTTGTACTGACCACTAGAAGAAACAACCGTGGGGGGCCAGTGGACCCTGCAGCCTAAAGTACAAAGTGTCAACGACGACTGGGGGCAAACGCAAACAGAATAATGTGTACGTGTCGCCTACGTTGAAACACCTTAGAGGAAATTGGGTGTATGACCAGATCTATGTCAAGTTTACAAAGCAGGAACAAGTCCCCAAAGTATCTTTCTCAATCTCACACTTGACTGATTTTGGACGGCTTTCTATGCATGGTATAGTGCTATAAGTAGGGTGCGGGCTGTGTTACAAAGATGTGGGATAAGGGATGAATAGAATACCTTGTCGCAGTCCGTGTAGTTTGAAAAGCACACCAACAACATGTACTTACGAGTGTCACAGGAACACTATGCCTAGATACGTTTATAAGTTTGTTTTGAAGTAGTAATCTGACAGGTTTAGACGAAAAGCTGTTGATGGTAGATGGCTCTTACATGGTGCCACAAATCACAAATTAGCTCAACAAAAGGTTTGATTCACTGCCGTTTAAAAAAATATATTTAGACTTAGATGACACCCAGTCTAAAAGATCTAGTTTTCGTGTCAAGATCTATGTAAATGTACAGCTGAAAGTTTGGGGCGAAAGGAAAAAAAACGGGGACCAAAAAGGAAGGTGTATTGTTGTCATTTATCGGATGTATAATGTGTGTGTGTGTGTGTGTGTGT